TATATAAAAAGAGCTTTTTTTAGCCCATATATTATGTGAAGTGCTATATATTTAAATTCTGCTGGAAACACCCTTGATCCCTTTGGCATGTAATGTTACCTTCTAACTAAATGCTATATAGCAGTACAAAATAAATATAACTATGGTGTACAACAACACTATTCCTAGAACTTATAACCCAGGTGAACTGATTTATTATTTCTATTGATATAAATTCATAAACTTTTGGAAGCTGGGCAAAACAAATGCATTGCTTCAGTATATTTTGTCTTGCCTTTCGTTTGCTTATTCAGTGAGTGCATCATCAGGGTTGTTGCTGTATTCTGCTGATTGCTTTACAACATCTGTTTAAAATAGTTGTTATGCCTGAATTGCTGATCTTGATTGCATAGGATAGCATGGCCTATAAATAATCATGAGAGATTTTACATCTCCATTTTTGGTGTGCATTTGACAAGAACAGCTACTCTTTTTCACTTGAGAAAGCTTGTGTCAGGACTGAGTAGGGATTTGGCATTGGAAGTAGAATTCAATAATGGCTTTGTGCAGCTTAAAACCGCATTGACTATTTGGGCTGGAGGTGAATGGTTAGGATGTCTGATCAGTATGTGTTAGTACAAATTACAGCACACTGCGTAAAGTTCTGCTGTAACAGAAAGTGTTCTAGTAAATTTGCATCTCGGTTTCAAGGGGGTTTTTGTTTTTAAGCCAAGTTTCTTTTTTACTTTTAGGTTTTGTTAGGTTAGCAGTATTTCTAACTATGATGACATATTAATTATGAACTTTAACATATTAAATTTAAACTTTCTTTGTTATATCTTATAAAGGAGTTAGGCAAGTAATGCTGACTTAGTAATATATAATCTCTGTAATAATTTGATTTGAAGATTTTTTGGAAGCCCAAGTAATGGAATTCTGAATAGCACTGGCCTAATAATAGGCTCATGAGGTAAAAACAAAGCTTAAAAATGCTAAGCTGCTTTATTCTGCTTGCATACAAATCACATTGCGTTCAGTAGGTAGATAAGTCAATGTAGCACTGATTTCAAATGGACAGATGGTTTCTACTGAATGGTCATCTTAATGAGATGGGTAGGATGTTACTTTTAATTCCTCACAATATAATCGTTAGGCACAGAGGGTATTCTATCTTGAAGGACTGTGATAGGAGAAAAAATCCAAATCCACAGACATTATATTTACCAATTCCAAAGAGAATAAGCAAATATTAAATAAATCTCACATGTTTTTTTTTTTCCTCAGGCAGAGCTAATGCAGGCAGTGTTCAGATGTATCATATATTCACAGAAAAATTTTTGTAACTTAACTTTACAGTGCAGTTAGTTTCTTGAATAACCTAGAGAAACATTTTATGAGACAATGTGTTTCAGTTATAGAGTAACAAGTAATATGCCTTGTCTATAAATAATAATATACTCTGAAAGCTGTAGCTTAAAAACATAAATATTGCTTAAAATGCATATATTGTTTGAAAAAATGTAGGCACATGAGCAAAATTTTTATTTACTGTACATTCTGTAGGCTACTTTTAAAAAAGTATGCATATTTTGTGCATGCACGATTTTTCTGGTGTCAGCTGGAGGTCCACATGTGGCATAAGTGCAAAATATGTGGTTTTGTTTAAGAGAATTCTATCCTTAATTTAACAAGTGTTTTTTTCATATTGAGACAATGTTCTTGTTTTAACTATTTTTGTCTTGTTTTAGGGCGATGGAGAAATATTTGAAAATTACTACAGAAAACAAAGAAGGAAACAAGCAAGATTAGTTCTGCAGCCGCAGTCAAGCATGGTAACCAATACTTTTGTTTTTGCATTGACTTGGGTTGTACCTAATACTTAATGGTATTTTTATTCCTAAACTTGTTTTCTTTTTCATTGCAAGCATGAAACAGTAGAAGGCTATAGAAGATACTTCAGTCAAATTGTAGGGTAAGTTTTCGGAATGGAGATTTATTTCAGTTTTACTATATTGATTCTTAATTCACCCTCTGTTCTCCCATTGTCCAAAAACTTCCTTCTGCAAGATTCAGTTTCCACACAAATCATGTGGATGGTTGTTGCTGGATCTGAGTGGGGAAGACCATCCAGATCCTGCCAGTACGGTGCCCCACAAGGACCCTCCAGCAGCCTGGGCTCCAGCTGGCGTGAAACAAACTTCACATTTTGACTTCATGCTGGGAAAAGCAGAACACCAAACCTACCAAAGTGTCAGTGTTTGATTGGGGAACGGTTTAACTATGCTAGTGTGTGAAAGGGTAGAATTTGCTCTAATATTAGAAAACAACTTAATAATTCAAGCATTATTTTGTTTTAGTTTCTTTGTAGTAGAGGACCACATTTTACATGTAACCCAAGGATTGGTAACTAGAACGTATACTGATGAACTCTGGAACATGGCCCTTTCCAAGATCATTGCTGTTCTTAGAACACATTCAGTAAGTGAGAAGTCTTATCAGTATTGTAGTTTATATCTTCCTACTTCAGAGCTCTGTATATTTAAAGCTGGAATAGTAACAAAGTGAAAAATTACACCTCTCGTGTTCTTTTCCTTGTGATTAAAAATTGCTCAGATTTGGGAGGGAGCCTGCCAAGCTTTTGTTTTTCCCAACAGTATCAGGCTGTGATCCACAGCCATGGGCTATTTGCATAATCCTCCACTGATTTACAACTCACTGGGTCTTCCAAACCTTCTCTTAGTCCAGCAGTTTAGAATATGCAGAGTTAATCTGCTGTTATTATTGCAATCCTTCCTCATTAGTCTCAACTGACCTCTTCATTAGATCAGATTGAATAGTTCAGCACTGAAAGCACCACCAGGAAATAGTTCCTAATTATCATTCCAAATGCTGTGTTTCCAAAATAAACTCCATCAGCAAAACCCTTGGAGCGATCTCTTCTATCCTATAGTAGTAATATGTTTATGTTGAAGTAAAGGTATTAGAAAAATCTTCACAGATGTTAGAATGTAATTCTGTATCAGCTGAGTATTTCAGTACATTGAAAGTGTGTCTCGTAAAGTTACATTTCTGCCTTAGCTCCAGTGATGCTGAATAGCTGCATGCTATTTCTTGTTCCTCTGTGAAAACCAATGGAGTACCATTGTTCACTCAGACTGACTGATAGTAAATTGCTTCAAGGTTTACCAGTGGTACAACTTTTACTATTGGAAAAAATATCATAGTTTTATCTTTACCTTTTTAATGTTTGCTAGAAGCAGTTCCTTTATGTAGTTTTGTTATTTTTATTAGGATTGATCTTTAATTCGAGGAATATTTTACATTTCGTATATACTGAGGAAAAATGGGGAAAAATGGGGAAAAAGTTCAGATTGCAACTATAGTTTTATTATAGGGCCTTTACTGATCAGTGGCACATGAGATGTTCTCATACTTTTTAATTAATTTTAGAGGATTGGGATAAACTGAGATATAGTCAGCATTTTTTTAAGCTAAATACTTTGCAAGTTAATTGGCTGTGTATGGATTTATACACTTATGTAGGAATATGGTAATTTAAGGAGTAAAAGTAATGGTAATCTCTAAAGAACTCTTCAATGTCTTGTCATGTAGTTGGTCACTATTTCTTCTCAAAAGGCATAACTCCCATCAAAACCAATTCTGTCACAATATCTTTCAAACATCATTCTAGTACAGACTAATGTTTAGATAAGTGTATCTTGTCTTATGAGGTATTGTAAACCAAACCCTTACTTTATTGAAGTATGCTAAGAGCAAAAATTAAAGAAAAGTGAAACAGGTGTATAGAGTCTTTAAGCAATACTATATTCTCATGCTGCTTTAAATTATTTTAATGTAATTTTTTTTTTTTACTTTATCCAGTATTGCAAATAGTGAAGCTGAGGTGAGGGCTGAGGGAAGGCTGAGAGAACTAGGTTTGTTCAGCCTTGAGAAAAGAAGGCTTAGGGGAGATGTTATCACCATGTTCCAGTATTTAAAGGGTGGCTACAAAGAAGATGGAGTCTCCCTTTTTTACAAGGAGTCACATGGAGAACATGAGGGATGATGTTCTGGGGGACTCCTGGGGAGATTCCAGTTGGTGTCTGATTGGACACAAGAGGAAAACTTTTCACAGTGAGAACAATCAGCCATTGGCATAATCTCCCCAGGGAAGTGGTGGATTCAGGAGGTGGTGGATTCCCCAGGACACTTTTAAGAATCTAGACTGTCCTCTTGCCATGAAAGGTTGGACCAGATGATCCGTGAGGTCCTTTCCAACCTGGTATTCTATGATTCTATGAAAGCCTTAGTTGTAGGATTCCACACCTCTGAATTTCAGTCATTTGGTAGCGTATATAACTTAATGTCTTGATTTTTTACCATCAAATTTGTAATTTGAATTTATTTAGAAAGTATTTTACAGTGTTTTCCCATACAACTGGGAGACTGAGGTGGCACAGTTAACACTAGTTAGACCCGAGCTTAGTGTTTAAAAGAAGGTCCTGTGGAAACCTCTCTGGTGTTGATTTAGCAAAGCATTTTGATGTGTGCTTATGTTCCACTGAAGTAAATGTAATCTGCTGGTTTTGAATCTCAGTACAACATAGTAATATTTGTTGAATCTCATATTTTAGTTTGCTTTTTCTGAGCTTTTATGCTACTGATAGTTCATATAAAAATTTAACAAATACTTTTATGTAGCTCAACTAAGTGAAGACAAGTGAATCTAAGTTGTTTTTTACTAAGGTGGTCAGTCAGGAATAAGACTGGAGAGTTTTAACCTTCTGTGCTAATATTCTTTGAAAACATATGTCCCATACTCTAAATCCTTTTAACAAAACCAGAATTTCTCACTTTCAGTCGTATTGCAGTGATCCTGACCTTGTTCTGGAACTGAAGAATCTGATTGTAGTATTTGCTGATACTTTGCAGGTACATATTATATTAGTAATTTAACTGAAATTCCCAGAGTCAAATTTTTCCTTTAGGTGAGTAAGTGCAATGCTTTGGGTTTTCCTGAATCATATATATATAAATCAAGAACAAAATTACACAATAATATTTTAAAAATATATGTATTTCTTGCCTTGGTTCCTCCTTTTCAGTATTATGAATTTAATGTATGTATTCTGGGCTATCCAGCTGTCATCCGGTTATTAATAACTGTGCAAAATTAATGTTAGCATTGTAATTTGTGTACATTTTTGTCTTTTTATAAATGCTTTGCTTCTGATCTTTAGCAAGAATAGCATTCCAGTTACCATTAACTCTCTAGCTGAAAGACCAAATGAACATAATTGGCAAGTATTCTTGCAATGTTTAACAGACTGATAAAAAAGATCAGTTATATACATGAATAGCAAGTTAAAATGCTATAGAGAAATGGGACAAATTTCTGCTTGAAAACTGAAAGCACAGGATAAAGTATTTGGTAAGAATTTAATATATAATCTTGTAATTGTAGTGGTGTGTTTAAAGTACTATAATTTGTTTTCTAGAAGTGACAAGATTGAATAATAAGTCTCCTCTCAGAGTCCTGAAGTGATGTGATAGGAATTGAATGTATTAGCTCTTGAATTATCTACCCTTTTAATTTTTATACCTTAGGGCTATGGTTTTCCTGTGAACCGACTATTTGATCTTTTATTTGAGATAAGAGACCAGTACAACGAAACACTTCTTAAAAAGTGGTCTGGACTCTTCAGGTTAGTATTTCAAAATAATTGTGCCTTTTGTACTGCATCTATTGTTTTTGTCTACAATTTTTTTTGATAGACTTGTAATTCTGCAAGAATTTATTAACTCGGTATTGTGTATGAATTTCAAGTTGTATAGGACTAAGATACTCATCACATGTAACTCATACTTAGGAGAAGAGCCATGGAGTACTGCTTCTGTAGTTAATGGGGAGAAGGAAGGTCTCCAAAGGGACATTATTGGAGAAACATGCAGGAGAGAGAAGTGTGGTTTTCTTCATTAGGAACCTAACAACTCTTGGCTTTTGCAATAGGGCATTAGGTTCTTAATTTAGGTTGTCTTAATGTTTACAGTTAGCTGCTATGCGTATCTCCCTGACAGACTACTTACATTGCCAGTATGTCGTGATGGTATTTTAATGCAGGTTGGTTTCCACCTATTTTTTGGAACCATTTGATTCAGTAAATTGTAAACCCAGTAATAGGGCAGCCTGGGACTGTACTCCAAAGCCTGTTTGCAGACAGGGTGTGATGTCTAAATGTGCAGAAATTGTTTACCATAAAATATGTTACATTGTATTACAGAAAACCTTAAAATTAAATTAACCACTTAAGGTTCTCAGGCTCTTTAGACTCCTAGTATAGTCACTTGACTAGCAGAAAAGTCCAGAGAATATTTAACACTGTGGCCGTGTGCCTAGTTGAAGTTCTCTGCATCATCTCTATTGACTATATGTAGCTATGGTACTTAAGTGAGACACTCTGAATATCTGCTTCAGTGTAGGCAAAGTTTAGGCTACTAGGTACTTTAGTAAATATCTCATGGTTTACTCTGGAGTGTACTGGTTGATCTAAAGTTCTTTTGCTGTAATATGCTTTGAATCATACATATTGAAATGCTTTCAGCTATTTTTTTCTCTGTGATTAGACACAGTGTAAAGAGTTAGCATGTATAAGGTACTTTCAAATTAATCTAAAAATAGTTTGGATGTCTGAAATTATGATGATTGCAGCACATAAGTTTTTGAAGCTGCATGCCTAAGTATGGTAGTAAAATTTATATTCATTTACATGTTTTAACACTGGTAAATACTGTCAATAAGTTACATGTCCTAATTTTTTTTTCACTTTACTAACTAATTCACCAGGGATATTTTTGAAGCGGACAACTACAGCCCTATTCCTGTAGCAAATGAAGAGGAGTACAAAATAGTTATAAGCAAATTTCCTTTTCAAGATCCAGAAATTGATAAGGTAAGTGAGTTTTATGTTATTAAAGTTTGCCAAAATCCAATTAAAGACACTTGGGACAGTAATGATTTTTATAATTAAAAAGCAATTAAAATTTGAAAAGCTAGGTAGATTAAGAGGCTAAATCACCTTCTTTGTGTGTAATTATCTAGTCATAAATAAATACGAAAATGAAAGCTTTAGTCATTTGCTCTGATATTTGAGCAAATAATGAAACCCATTGTTTTGTAAACAAATCAATAATATACATTAACTGATACAGTCTTTATGTAATTATAATACAATCTGTCTTTGATTAGTTAGATTTTCTTGCAACTCAGTGGGTTTGTAACTCATAGTATATTGTATGCTGTAGTATTGCAAAAATACGTGTAAAACAGGGATCTGTTAGAGACAGAAACTTTTGTATTTTACTTTTAAAGTTAATTAAATTTGTGTTTGAGTATGTGGGGCAAAATAAACATGAAGACACTGTAAATAATTTTGCCGTAATAGCATTCCAACAGGATATTCTTTCATAGCCTCAGCCATTCTTTCACTACAAACTCCTTTCACAGAAAGGTGATTAACATGTTCTGCTCATCAAATATGGTTTTGGTAGTACTGATGAAGAAGTAACAGGCCCATCATGGAATCTGTAAAGGAGAACTAAATCTAAGAACCACATGACAGTAACTGTTGTAGAGGGAAGCTGGTTTATACACGATCCATCACTGCAGATATCTGCCAAAGTAAAAAGATACTCTGCTTCTATGATTCAGCACGGATTTACCAGGCAAATTTAATGGCTGCATCTCATTAATACAGTATTGCAGTGAAGATGAAAAACTAAAGGTGGGTTTTATGCTAATTTTTGAAGAAGACTCCAGAGTGCTTGCTGGACGCTTTCCTCCATCACATTAATTTCCTTAGCCATTATAATACTAAGATAAGATAAACAGAATGGAAATCCCTTACAGTGTTGGAAATATACCACACCCTGGATACTATTTAGCATGACATATTTTGCTGATAAATTGCAGAGATTTTTAACTTGTCCTAAATAATTTTGTCTGTTAGCCTCTCTCATTTTCTGTCTCATGTATCAACATGCATGTGTAGATGTTACTTGTGTAGGCATGTGTAGTTACATATATGTATGATTAATACAAAGCTTTGGCTCCTATTTCAGCAAAAGGGAAATGTATTCTTTGTACCCAGCAATTTTCATTTTGGTTTATGACACAGAGAAGGATTTCTATTTCATAGTGAGCAGCACTTTTTGTAGATATTTTATGGGCAGAATCTCACTGATCCTTAGTTTTTGGGCTGGTGAACTTGAGAGTAAAGTGGGAATCAGGTTGGATTCTGTTCTCAACTCTATCATTGACCAGCTGTGTCATGCTGATAAGTCGCTTCACATCTTTCTGTCCCTGTTAATTCATCTGTAAAGCAGGGATAACATTTTTTTACATGTCTCTGAAAAGAGTTTGAAACCTGTATGTAAATCAGAAGGACATCATTAGAAATAAGGCATTCTGAGTTGTTTTTTTCTTGTCTTAGCAATTTTTGAAGCAGTTCAGTTGACTTCAACCAAATTTAGCAAAGAGGCAGAAATCTCGAAGATTATTGAGTTCCTAAAAGTTTTGTCAGCTAGGCAGTGGAATAGAGGAGAAAGAATCATTAAGTATCCTTACTGAAAGAAAGATTGCAGTGTTACTTTATGTGTTCTTAAATAGCAGGGAATCCACATGGAGGGGAAACTTTATAAATGCTACAACATCACTTCTATTGATTGCTGTTTATAATCTCATCCACTTCACCTCTCTCTTGTTGCCTCAGGCTATAAGGCACTGGGAGGCCCTATTGGGTGGGTTAATTTAAACTACATTTTGATGTTTTAAAAAAAAAATAGATGGGTAAGTTCAGGCTGGTAGCTGAAGGAGCCTGTGTAGTTGATAGAGAGGAATAAACACCCCAGAGGGCTAATTCCATTTGATGCATCTCTGATGCCTATAACATATTAAGGGGAATTTCACCTTTGAAAATGTCTGTTTCTCTCCGTTTAGTAAAAAAGAGACAAATGTGAGTGTCTCATTTTTAACTATAGGTTAGGATGAATCACCCTCACATTTTACAGGCAAGTTTATCATAGGAGTTGCTTGCAGCACACTAGGCAGAACTGTGACCAGAACCTACTACATACTTAACATCCAATCCAATCTGACTGGATGAAGCAGTCTTGTCTGCACGCTGCTGTTTAGATTGAATGTGCCAAACTATCATGGTTTGATTGTAGCATCTAATTTTAGTACTTTTCTGTATTCAGAAGTGAAGCGATTGGCTTGTAGCTCTGGGTCTTTTTCTTACTGCCTGCTCTAATAATCAGATAGAAAGTGTTGGGTGCTCCTGTATTGGCCAGACCCTGTAGAGGATAAAGAATTGCTTCTCTTAGCTCATTGAATATGTGAAGGTTGAAACTCAAGCCCTGCTGACAGAATATTGTGATGATCCAAAATAGTTGTACGTAATAGCACTTGTTTTATCTGTTAAAAATAAATTACCTAAATCAGATGAACATGTATTTGAAGTAAATTGTATTGTTTAAAAAATGCTTGCTATCACTGTTGAATGACACAAAAACCTGGCACTTACATGACACATTTGTCACACCACTTAATCTTAAATAAAGAGGTATGATTAGGAGAATGTCAAGGTAAACTGTTTTGTCTTGTTTTTTTAATACATAAATGTTGAGCTGCTGTTGATTAATGCTTTTTTTTTTAGAGAAATGGAATTCTCCAGGTGTAATACAATTACAAAAACAATTGTTAATTGTTTTTCTCATGCATTACAGAGTAAACAGAAAATTAATTGTTTTGCAAATTTCAAAACCTATATATTCAGTGCAGAAACATCTATTTGGTTTGTGTAGATTTAATTGAATTTGTTTCTTTCAGTCCTCCCAAGTACAATATTAGCTTTAGAAGTGAAGTAAGAAGCACGATTTTATTCTTACAGACTACTAGTATTTTCCACATGTTGATCCAAATTGTTGAAAAGAATTCAAAATGCTTTGCTTCTGTGAACCATCAAGAGAAAGTAAATATATGATAGTAAATATACATGCCTAAACATTCTGAAGATGCTTTGAAAATCCCACATGTATTGAACTTCTGAAACCCTTTTTTTACTGCTTGCTTTTGGCAAAAAAATGGTTGCATTTCTGAACCTCTCATCCCACTTTATATCCGTCTTGTTCATTCAGATTAAGGTGACTTGCAACCTGTTTTTTAATGTCTGTAAGTTTCTTTCTATGAAAGGATCTTAAATTACATGAAGTTTCCAAACTTCATTGTAATTTCAGTAAGTTCTATTTTGCGTATAAACTATTTAAACAGATGTAGAAGTCAGCCCAACGCATACCACTGTTTGATGAAAAACAGAAAAACTTAAGATAAAGTATTGATAGTATTAAGTGTCTTTTTAATTGTTGCGTTTAATACCAAGCTCTCCTTAGAATCAGTTTCAAGTGTAAAATAATGCTGTCTTTTATTTTCACAGCAATCCTTTCCAAAGAAGCTTCCAATGTCTCAGTCAGTGCCTCAGATTTATATCCAGGTTAAGGAATTTATTTATGCAAGCCTTAAGTTTTCAGAGTCACTTCACCGCAGGTAAGCTAAGTATCAGCCATGTCACTATAAGGTAACCTATAACTTCCAGGTGGCCTAAAAATATATATTCAATTGATAATATATTTTGTACTTTCTAGCTGTGCTTCTTTCATAATTTATGTATAATTTACATCTATAAGTATTTATATTTAATCTACGATTCTCAGTGCTATAGCATGTATTTCATATGTGTATGTCTGTATGGGTGAAGGTAGCTTGACGTGGTAAGTAGTCTAAAACTGGCTGGTTTGAATAATCTAGAGAATTTATTTAATTAACAAAGCATGTAAGATTTGAAAAATTAATTTCTGACATGATCGGTATCAAAGTATTTGTGTAGCACCCCTGATTACTTTGAATGGTCTTTCCCTTCCAGTGTTTTGAGTTCCTTACCAATGATTTCTCCTGCAACAAAATGTGATGTCTGCATGCTCATTCCCTCTTCCATCCCACTTTTTTCTAATGGAAAACATCACAATTTTCCCATTTCCTTTCCTCATGTGGCCTTCAAAACTTAGTTTTAAATACATAAATTAACATTCATAGTTCTAAAGTCTGGAAGATATTCGTGGCTGGTCACCCACTTCTGCACTGTGCAAGATGTAAATGATTCACTTTCACACATTCTTAATTGATACTGTTTATAATTTACACGTACTAATGAGTGCATGTTGACCTCCTTAGTAACTCATTAAAACCCACAAATTACTCTTTCCGAACTGCTGTGTCTATAAACATGTCCAAAATCTAAAAATAACAGGTTTTGCTTCAGTGTTAAAATTCAATTAATGGATAATTTGGTAAGCAAATGAGGTGTTCTATGTGGTAGACCACAGAAGACTGGGATCAACCAGAAATTAAATGCACATAGGGAATTCTTAACATGAAAAGTTCCCTTTGCATGGAAAAAATAAAAATATTAAGTATTACTGTCAAATTATTGTAATGCACAGCATAGTTATAAAAATAAATATTTTTTTTCAGCTCAACAGAAGTAGATGATATGCTCAGAAAATCTACAAATTTGCTGCTTACAAGAACTCTAAGTAGCTGTTTACAGAACCTAATTAAAAAACCTCATATAGGTTTAACAGAGGTAAGTTTTAAAACACACACTCAAAGCTGTGTTTTTTAAGATAATTAGTGCTAAAACTCTTCTTGTAAATGTAGATATACCGTGGTATTAAGATTTGTGTACAAAAAAATAGTAGTGTTTGCTTTAAGAATGAAAATTTAAAGAGGTGAAAGATGAAATCTAAAAAAGCCTCAGTCTCTGTTGCCTAAATAATACAATACAGTGCTGGGTCTAGCTGGAAGTATATTTACACAGGGATGCCTTTTGAGAGATGACAATGAGAGAGTTCTGTCTCCAGTATGATAAACAGAGATTTGCAAGAAATAAACCAAAGACACACACTACTTTGGTTGCATACAGAGAGAGCATGGTTCGTGTGTTCTGCTTCTGTCTAGCAATTAGGAGCACATTGTTGAGTTTCTTTTTCTTAGTATTAAAAAAAGAGAGGGATGGGAGGAAGAAAATCTCTCTCACATGAACTGTGTAAAGTTTCAGAGTGAACCCCTACCACATCAAGGAATATAAAATCTGAAGTTCACTCTAACATGTGAAACTTTCTTCTGCAATAATTGAAATTAAAATATTTTAGTAGGTTTTGTGCATATTCTTTCTTCATCAGAACTCTTGTTTAATTTGCTTATTAGACAGAATAAGACACGGTGAGACAGTGAATCACTTTAAACATTTGCTGCAGGTACATGCAATGTCAGGAGACAGCAGGTACCTACTGAAACATGCTGAGAAGGACTTAGACTGTTACCGTTAGAATGTTGTTTTTAAACTACAGTAACATCTCATATAGATGAAAAGATGATGATGATGACGAAAAAGCTCTGTAAATCATATATTGACATGTTAGCAAGACAAGCCATACAATTTTTCTGAGATGTAGTTTTCTATGTTCTTGAAATTGGTACAGGAATATTTTCAGGGATATGAAAATAAATTCACTAGTGTTTTTTGAGGTGCTTCATTATCAAGTCAATATGTTTTATGAGAAAACTTATTTTCCTAAGCATTATATTAGCGTTCACTAAAACAGAGAGTATGGAGTGAGAATTAAGATATAACATACTGATATTTCAGTTATTATGGATTATTTACATTGTCTAATTTGCAAACTGAATGCAAATGCAGGTTCTGCTTTTTAAAAACATGTAGCATGTACAAGCAGATTGTTACTACTGGTGGGGAGGAGTTCACAACCTTATTTTTGAAATTCCCTATCTTGAGAATGTATCATTCTGCAGACAATTTTTTTTAATAGCAGTAATTTTTAAAAAAGTTATTTTTGTGGTACAAATTAGTAATTAGCTTTTGGCAATATATTTTCCTTTATTTTCCTTTTTTTAATTCTAAAATATCAGTTGGATTTATTTCACTGAGTAGGTGTCTGCAATCTTCATTTTTAAAATGGCATAATTTTTATGTAAACTGTAGTCTTACTCATTAGTGGTATTTGAACGCGAACTTGAAAACTAACACTTAATAGGTGGTAACCTGAAATACTGTAATTAATTTCTAGTAGCATTGTTGCTGAAAGAAGTAACCATTTATGAAATCAAATGGCAATGGGTGATACAAGAAGGATTTTTACAAGAATTTTTTGTCTCTTGTAGCTTGTTCAGATCATTATAAACACAACACACCTGGAACAAGCCTGTAAATACCTTGAGGATTTTATATCTAACATTACTAATATTTCACAAGTGACTGTTCACACTGCAAGACTTTATGGACTTTCTACATTTAAGGTATGGTATATGTCATCTGCTATATGACTGTGTCTGAAAAGGTACATTAAAATCACTATAAATGAAGCCTTTTAAAACAAAAGGGAGTGATGGCAAAGCTGCATTGCTTTCTCATTTTTGACTGTGAAACAATTCTGAACTGTTAAGAATTCAGTTGTAACACTGAGCAGATAAACACTTTTTGTATATTATCGGTATGATCTGAAATATGTCAGTATGTGAGAAGCATCAACATTCCCTTTCAGATGCATCTTTTATTAAGTTACAAAATGACAAGGTAAGTTTAACTGCACCAGAAGCTTTCAATAGATTAAGTTACAATGTGTGTATTCTCTCCTCTTTCGAATGGAATCGATCAAAACAGCTAGTTTAATCTAAAATGTTTGTGTTGTTTATTTGTTTTTATTCTACAATAGAACTATTTTGTGGTATATTTTCAAATTGTGTAACTTAGTAATATAAAAACAGTATTAAGAATGTGCTACAAAGCATAAGTTATTAAATTATCTTTCTAGAATTCATATTTTGTTTACATGTTCTTTAAATTTATACACACAATAATACTTATGACATTGATCACTGGGAACATGACTGTATGGCAACTGCTTATCTACATGAACCATCGAAGAACCAAATTTTGGTATTCATATATGTGAAATATGGCAGAAACTATTTCATTGACTGAGTCTGGCTGAGTTGATTTTTTTGTTAGAATAGAAGCAAATGTGTGTATTTGGGAGTGGTTTGGGGTTTTCTTTCTGAAGAAAATATACTCACAGAAGAATAATCTTGTATGGGCTACCTTATGATATTAATTCATCCAGTGCATTGCTGCCTTAGTAATTTGGGGCTTCTAAACAGAAATTTTTGAAAGAGAAACAAAAAACCCCTCAAAATTCATCAGGGATCCCAAAGCAGCTGCAACTTGAACTTTAGGTATTTGGGTTTTTTTCAGTGTGCACTGAAACAAAGGAGGGTGATTTCTTGTATTTATGGGATAAAGAGGACTAATCCTATTGAGACTAGTTCTGTTTTCTGTACTTCATTTTTTCTCTTGATGCAATATGTAACCTATCCTATTATAATATCCCCTCTGGCGTAGATGTTAAAAGGTGGGTGAGGTGGAATAAGACATCGTCATTGTAAGACACTTCATATTTCCAGTTTGCCAACAATTTTCCCATTAACTGTCATTTGTTTTGCTAAGGATTTAATGAATAAGGCAGGACAGGTTCTGGCCTAGCAACTGCAGTTAGGTTACCATTGCCCTACCAGTAATTTTACTAATTTTGCTCTGTTCTTAAGATCCAGCCTGCCTAGTTTGCTTGTTGGTACCAATAATGCATGTGGCTCTTTGAATTTCCATATCTATAGGTATTTTCATGTAAGGTCAGTCCATAATCTTTTTAACATTCAAACAAAACACTTAATGAAGCCATAGTCTTTGATCTCATTAAGAGGTATGTTCATTAAGATGTTCTTTATCCTTGAATTTCATTTAATAAATGCAGTTGAAAGTTTGCATTATACTTTGAGCTGATTGCTTATGCTGTAAATTATGTTTAACTATCCTATAAACTCTCTAAGTTCTATTGGAGGGGATCACAGAATATTAAATCAGTGTTTAGTGAATTTAGTATCTATGCACTTTGGAAAAATACAGAATGAACACTGACAAACAAGTAAGAATTTTTTAATGGTTTCTCTCCCCTCTCTTTCTCTGGAGAACGTGTTAACACAACGTTCTCCACTTGTAGTAAAAAATTCTTTTCTCATTAATTCCTCTTTTTTTTTTTTCTTTTTCTTTTTCTTTTTTCCCCCTTTCTATTTAATGAAAAACTGCTTTCAGTTCCCCAACTGGGCCCTCACAGAGTTTGGTATGTTCTACTGTTATTAAATTAGTCTCCTGGTGGCAAATCATGTCACCTCCATTCTTCCAGAGTGGTCAAAAATCTCCTTTTATTAGCAGCATTGATCACGTTTACATTCCATGAGATGATCTTATAAATATGTCTACACTGTATTTTTTTAATAGAAGCCTTCAGACCTATTTCATGGTTACTATTGTAGAGGGCTGTTTTTTTCATTTTAATTTTGTATGTAAGATCTCATTTTAAGATGTCCTTTAAACTCTCCAAGCATTGTTTCACATGGGTGGAAATAAAAAAACCCCCACAAACCAAAACCAAACAACAAACTTGTCTCATTTTATCATATTAAAAAATTTTGTCGCTTTCAATATTTATAGCCGTGTTTTCTGGCTTTGGATGACCATTGTTTTCCTTTGCTTAAATCAGCAGTCACACTAAGCATGAATACATGTATTTGCAGATCTAGTTAATAGAATGTTTTGAGCCCAGGGTCTCAGCATTAAGCTGTGTAACGGCTTTTTAAGAACCAGATACACAGCATCAAGTCCTGTGCAGGGCTTCAGGACATCCTCTGAGAAAGAAGCCATTTAATAGAACTGTGGCACTTTCCCTTTTCACTTTTATAACGGGGGAAAAAATCTGGTGAGCTTTCAAAAGGTTTTTGATGCAATACTCTCACCACTTTAAAAGAAGAGATGGAATTAATTCATCTGTCTCTAGGAGTCATCCCAAATCTGAATACTGCTAATTCACTCTTTCTTGACTTGTGCATGGGATTCACAGTGCTGCTTCTCAGAAGTAACTTCAGGGTTTGAAATCCAATCGCTTGGCTGTTCACAGCTACCTCAGGGAGTGGAGCAACAGTCCTTGCTTAAAGTACTGGCAGCACACTGCTCCAGTTGTAACCCAATAGCCAAAACAAAATAAAAGGTAGCCAAAAACAGCCTTCCAGAAACAAAACCTGAAGGACTAGTCTTGCTATTGCCAGTTACTAGAAACACTTAACTGGTGAAGACAATACAATCACTCTGTAAATGACTTTGTTTTTAAACAAACAAAAAGTACACAAAAAACCAGGCAATCACACTAAACCTAAGCAGATTTATTTGCAAGTCTTTTTGTTATAGATTATTGAAACTGAGGTGTCATCATTAATTAAAAACTTTAAACATAGACTTGACTTTAACTGAGGCTTTTATAGTCAAAGCCATCTACAAAATTGTGGATGTCAGCATATTCCTTTATTTGACATGGTAAGAGGTTGCCAGATTCTTGTGTGTTGGATTGGGAGAGCTGTTCAGTGGAGCCTTTTACAAGTTGGTTTGGCAGCAAAAATGCTATTTTTAGGGAATTGTACTTTGATATTTCTCCATGGCAGGGCTACATGCTTGCTTGCTTCCTCCTGAAGTGCCTCACGGCCTGAGGCCTGGCTGAAGACCAAATTTGACACACTCAATGTGATGCCTCCTTTAACCTCAGATAATTTTGATTTTTTTTTTTTCTTTTTGCATTTCCTATTTACACCTTTCCTGAAGTGCCATGTTTTTGGACCGCTTTCTCCCAGAGGAAACTAGCAATGGGAATTTAATCTGCATTTGTGTTACTCCAGTATACCTAGCCTATTTTTACTCTCTAAAAACCTTCAGCAACTGACCAGTTCACTTAAAATTAAATGTCTGTCTGTCTTCACTGATCTTGAGAAATAATTAAAGTTTCATGTTGAGCCCAAACCAGAACATAGTATTTATCAGGTATCTTTAAACTCCAGGATGGCAAAAGAATGCCTTTCCAGCAAGATACACCTTATCAAGCATCTGTACGTAGATCCCATTGTATCTATAAGGATGTTCCCTAACAAATAAGGCAGATTGATAGCATCATAAACTAACTTCACAGAAAATGTTAGACTTTACCTCTTTACTGTTCCAAAAAGTAGAGTCGATGTGGTGGCAGAACAAAAAGAAGGGGTGGGAGGAAGTAAGGGAGTGCTCCGAATCATGGTGTGTAGTGATCAGGATATTTAAAGGAGGATGAAAAATGACGAGTATTCTTCAGATGTGCAGCTTTAAGACATTAATTACATAAAAAGCATATGATTGCTGGACCTTCAGCTGTAGTAGATAAAATAATTAGATTCTTTTGTTGTTCTCTTTGTAAAAGAGAGGAAAATAAACTTTGTGTCTGGGTTGATAAATTTGTAAGGCTGAATTAAAGGTGATTGTTGTGAAGAGAGTAAAGCCATTCCTTTGTTTCCAAATTCAAATGAATTTTGTTTTTCTCTGAGAACTTAGATTATTCTGTAGACATTCTGTTATAAGCACTCTTATAGTATACATTATGAGAGTATTTTAAAAACCATATCTTTACTGTAAGATAAAAGTTAAAATATTGATTTAAATAAAATATTTTTTGAATCTAAGAAAAACACAAAGCTTCAGTTTTGTTTGTAATTTTATCTGCATTCTAATAATGTTTTAGGATTCTGACAATTGCAGACAATTTTTTTTCAGGATGCAAGGCATGCTGCAGAAGGAGAAATATACACAAAACTTAACCAAAAAATAGATGAATTTATTCAGATTGCTGACTATGATTGGACGATGTCTGAGTCGGATGGAAGAGCCAGTGGATACTTAATGGACCTTATTAACTTCTTGAGAAGCACGTTTCAAGTTTTTACTCATTTACCTGTAAGTGTTCAAAATTAAGTTCAATTTCAAACTACTGGAGCATTATTTTATTTTAAATTACTAAGATTTTTGAAGATAGAAGTTATTTTTTAATTGTATACATGCTGGTAGTTGTATTTTTAAATGTGTTTCTGTGTGATGATGCTTACCTATGGTAATACTTAGAAAATACTTTCAAATACTTCAGTAATATTTTTAACAACAGCTAAGGGTGTAAGAACTCATGCAGTTTTCTAGAGCATCAGATGGCCTTTTTAATTAACCATATTGGCTCTGTATATTGATTCAAACAATGCAGAATTGGTGCAAAACCTGCATTTGTTCATAAGATTATGGAGGTTTTACATTCTCTAAGCTTGTTTTTAGCTAGATAGTTTTGATCATAAATAGTTATTTGATTCTAGTTAACTGAGCTTCATTGAAATTAATCCTTGTTCATACTAAAATGTGTCCTGTGTTATTTTGTCCTGGGTAAAAGGGTACTGTTAACCTGTTTTTTGTACTAAGTGTTACATTCTGTTGTCTGATTTTCGTTTGCTTTAAGACAAAAAAGACTATTTCTAGTTTGATTTATCATTGTAATAGTTTATAGCTTTGTAGGTCTAGAGTAACTTCAATAAGGCTTTCAAGCTACATCTGCTTTTCATCAGCTTGTCCTTGGTTGCTACTGTCACACTGATGTCTGAGTGCTTTAGCCACATGCAATGCCTATAAAGAATAAGTTCGCAATACATTGAATGTTTTGAGGCTCCAGACTGGAAATAAAAGATAATCTCCTTTCCTGCACATCAAGGTGTTGAAATTGCTGGCATAGTGGGCTTACCTGGTCTTCCAAATCACATGTGAATAGGCTGTGATTCTTCAGTCTCCTTTTTTTTTAATCGAGTCAAAGACAGAATCCACTCAAAATGTGTCACGTAATATTGATGTGAATGTGACATGTGAGGCACGTGCTTCTGTGCCAAATCAGTTGAGTGTTTTATGATAAAGAATAACAAGTTAGTTAAATTCATTGTAACTTAACATACAAAGCAGTGTGAACAAATGTCACTGCTCATCAATGGTCATATGCATACAGCAGTTAAGGAATGTGCAATTTCTAGAGAAAGACGAACAGAAGTCTGTCATGAATGTATGTTGTGATATAACTGTTTGGAAATGAGCCACAGACAGACTGAAGTAATGTGTTAAGAGGGATGGAAAGAAACAGCTGTGGCATTAGGACTTGAAAAGTGTGAAAGGAATAGAAATATGTGCCTGGGAACACAAGGCCACCTTTGGAGAAAGCTACTTCCTATGAAGAGGTTATTTGGTAATTTCAAACTCTGGTCAGGTCACAAGCAGGATGTAGAACTATATGGATGACTAGTCTGATCTGGCAAGAGGTTCCTTGTAATTTTTGACTTATCCTGTGTATCGCTCCCTATTCTGGCTTGGCCAGTTGTAGAAACATACAGTCCTATCAATGTTGTTGTGCATGACCTGTGGAGGTTATATGAAAATGTTTCATTTTGGTGATTCTGGTTAGATTTTTAATAGTAAGTTATTTTCGTTAAGAGAAAATTTATAGTAAAAGCATTTTCAAAGATAAGCACAGAACTAGGTTCTATAACTCTTTAAAATAACAAGTGCTTTGGAGTGCTAAACTAAGCTAGATTCTCATATGCCATAGTTAAGATTTGGAATAGTTTCAGTATTCTTTTTCATTAATGGATTATTCCATTAATGTCACAGTATCATTTCCATAATGATTTTTGTATGGCTGGCAGAAACATTCCATTGCTCAAAATAGTTTCTCAGAACCTTTTCTGTAATTAGAAATTAAAGAACAAAAGTCCTGGTCACTAGTCATAATTCTACTAAGGAAAAGAGCAGGACAGGTAGAGGATTCTCTTCTCTTCCTACCTTAGCATATCCAATAATGTTAGAGGACATTGTGCTAGGGCTAGGGGCACTAGCTGGCCACACCAGTTCTCCATAGTCTCTTTCAAGGGTCACTGACTTTCTCTTTGATATTGTTTCAAACTGTAGTCTTCCTCTAGAAGTGTTATGAGATGTTCTTTACGAATTTTTTGTTGCGGTCATTGAGTTCCTGTTGTTAAGAGTCTTGTTTTATTTTAGCTGTATGTGTAAGCTGTGTAAATGCCCAGGGACGCGTCTCCTTTTGTGCTTCCGTGTGGGGCTACACTGAAGTATTTCTGTACCAATAGACTCTTAAAAAATGCATCTTATGTTACATATCTGTTTTATACAATTTGTATTATTTTTATTGGAACATTAGAGATCTAAATCATTTAGACCATGATCTCAATTTTACTGAACCTGCATGCTTCATGGCACAGCTTAGTTGGGGTCTGATATCTCTGAATCACTGGGTATATCTTGCGTCTCCAAAGCTTTTTCTCCTCTTAAGTTTTACATCTTAGTTTTCTCCTCTGTGTTTGTTTACTGTGCTTAAGAAGCAGTTTTGGAAAAGAAAATATCTTTATTCCACCCTGCAGTTTTATTACCATTAAAATTTATTAATGGATCGTGTTACATTTAGATTCTTACTGTCCTGAGCAATTCTAAGTCTTACTTGAACAAAGTATGTTGATGACATACCACTAGCCTCTCGAAGTCAAAATGATAAACGTGGCATTTATTTTTTAACCTAAGTATTTTGCAATATATTGCTTCTTATAATGAAAACTTTCTGGAAAGGAATATCAACAGATGCTTCGTCATTTGAAGTTTGCTACTTTGATGTTTTGGCATACAATTCCTTATTACAGAAAAACATTTTATTGCCAAATTAGTATTATTTAAATCATAATCTCTTTGTTATGCCTCAACAAAATACTATGTAAGTTCACAGGTTTTAAAAAATAATTTAAGGAATCATGTAGCTGAAATTGTTCTTTTTGGAAGCTTTTCCTTACCTTTTGTTGCTACCAATTTTTATTCTTTTCTTTTTTTTTTTTTTTTTTTTTCTGGTGTTGACAGTACATCTTAATTTTTTTGTTTTGATTGCCTTACTGGTTTCCTTCTCAGAATAACAACAATGACCATGCAGCTATGTCGGTAAGTAGATGCAAGATGAAGAAAAAGCATGTGAACTGAAAAACTATGAACTGCCTGCAGGCTTATTGCTTCAATTTTTATAATAATTTAATAAAAAGACCCTTCTGTTTTCCTGATGACTTGCTGTGTACCTTGTGTAGTTAGTTGCATGCAGGGATCATGTTAATGACCAATATTGGTCTTCCATACACTGGGACAGCAGGAGCCCTAAGAATCTTGCAGAAGGTTGATGGGGTGTGCCTTACATACCAAATGAGATAATTTAGAGGAGACTATGAGACCTTTTGGAAGAGAGGTCAGGTATCAAAATGCAGCTGAGACACATGCATACACAATAAAAGTAGAGTGATATAACAGAATAAAGAATCAGTGAAAGTTCCATCGTTTCTCTGCTACATCTGCCTGGGGTCATGGGAATGTGTGTGCTCAAATTTTTTTTTTTTTTTTTTTAATAAGGTTATGGATTGTTTTTAAGAATTCTTCCAAGCCACAATTATTTTCAGGTCATCAATTTTTGTATAAGGACTTTATGTTGGTTTGGCATAAGCATTTCCATAATAATGAAAGTGTTGAAATTAATATTATTCTGTTAAGAGTGGCTTCTGAATACTAAATCTCTGAACTTACTTTTACTCATTCAATTGGTTGAATCTTGCTCACTTAAACAGTGTACAGCAACAAATGTACACTGTGCTGTTCACTGTTTAAGCAAACAAATGTGTAAGGCACTTCGAGTCCACAGTGTAGGAATAACCCTGTTCATTGCTACAGTCTGGAAGGCAGTTGGCTGAGCAGTAGCTCTGTGGATCTGGAGAGAAGTGGGTTTCCAAATTGTCAGGAGCCTAGAGCACATAACTTACAAATAGAGGCTTAGGGAAGTGGATTATTTAGTTTGTTAAAGAGAATGCTGGGGGGAGAGCTAGTGGCAGCCTACAACCTCTAGAAGGACAGACACAATGGTGATGGAGCCAAACCCTTCTTGGTAGGACTGACAAATTGACATTTTGCTATGGTCAGTTAGAAACTTGGGAGGTGAAGCTTTGACATTAGGGAAAAGGTTTGCTCAAAGAGACTAGTGCAGTGTTGGATGAGGTTACCCAGAGAGGCTGTGGAATTCCCATCCTCAGTTTTTTTAAGGCTCAGCCAGAAAAACAGGGCAATGGACCTGAAGTAGTGTTGGCAACGGCCCTACTCAAAGTAGAAGGTTGGACTAGATGACATTAGTGGTTCACTCGAATGACCATTTCTACGATTTGAATACTAAGCTTTATGTCAAACTATCAAGCTAATAAATGTCATGAGCGGTAGGAATATTGAATATTTTGTGTAGAAATATTTCCTGTTAATGTTGAATAGGTGTCAGTGTGCTAGTTATGTCATAACCAAGCACTAGCAGAATTTCAGAGATGCGGCGCACAGAGGCTACATTGCTTTTGGAAGGTTATAATTTGTGAGTCATGCAGGTTTTAACAGTTCTGTTATCTAGAATCACAAGAATTTAGTTGTTTGAGATTATTGCTGGTTTCAGATTCTTCTATGTCCCATTTTAAGTTCGTATTGCAGTTTATAGTGCCACTAGATACTTTGAATCAAAAAGAAAATTAAAATTTCATTGTACAGCCATCAATCTCATGAAATCAATTGGATGATCAAATTTGTTCTTAAGGACCTACATTTTTTTGAATTTTATTTTGAACAGTTAAAGAAAAATCATACGTTCTATTTTCAGATCAGTTAATTTGAAATTATAGAGGGTGTATATATATGTGGTTTTAACCTAAGTTTAGAATTAGCTGAAGTTTTATTCTAGGTATGTGCTTTGTCAGTATAAAGTTAGTATTGGACAAGTCTTTGGAAAAGAATGACTATTGAAAAGTAATAGTTACAAAATACTTTCACGTAGGTATTTTTTATTATTTCAGTAGAATTTGGGACAGAGACTGGAAGTGACATTAATTCTTAAAAATGCCATTGTTTTTTTTTTTTAGTATACCTCTATTTTATCAATAGTTCAAAAGTTGGAGTTTAGTCCTGATGTTAAGTTATATCATGCTTTAGTTATTTTGACTGATAAAATCTGTATGTTTAGTTTCTTTTAATTTTCAGAAAGTTTTTCATTATGTCATTTCTTATTGTTAAATGAATTCTTCAGCTTCACTTCTTAGATTTAACAGATAAGTTTTGTTATTTCCTTTTATGCTGAGGATGGCAGTTTGTGTTATTTTATTGTTTCTGTGATTGGCAGCAAAAGCCTAATTTCACAGCTTGCAGTGAAGGTGAAGGGGTGGTGGGTTTCTGCAGCTATATTCAAAAACTGTCAATCAACAGCCTTCACAGGCTACTTAGAGAATGGGTTTTCTTACTGATTTCTCCAAATGCTGCTTCATGCTGTCTTTGATTGGCACGGCCTGGCAGGGAGGATGGATGAATCTGTCACTGGCCGGTTAATTGTGTTGCTGGTCTCAGCCTGACATCGGGTCTTTGACTCCTAAGTGGCTCAATACAAAACAAATTAGCAGATTGTAGTCATATTTCTCATTCTATATGCTTTGACTTTGTTGAATGCAGTCCATAAATCATATTGACTGACACCATAGTGAATGATGAAAGCTGCTTTTGAGACAGCTAGCATGGGTCTTAGCAGTACCGCAGAGGTGCCGTGGAAGGATGCATACGGCTGACCCTTTGGGAATTTCCTAGGAGCCAAATGTCTCTTTACTGCAATTGTTCTTTGGAGAAAAGCTTTTGGCTCCTATAAAAAAGGATTTAATATGTCAGCAGATTCTCTTTACAGGCTCCTTTGAAATATAAGAAGTTTGTCTAAGGGTTTTCTCTTTTTACAAACTTGTATTTCAGCAAAATGTGTAGGCTGGGTGAAAAAACAGTTGCCTTTAACACTGTTAGCAGGTGTTTTTGCTTATAGAATAGAGTCCTTGTTTCCTAAACTTTACACTGGTTGAGTGGAAGAATAGGTTTTGTAGATAGCAGCAATTAGCATAGGCACAGCGGAGATAATAGTGGCATCTCCAAATGCGAGGCAACTGGAGCAAATGTGAGAAGCCTGCTGAATCTCCGCATGCTATTGAATATAGGTATTTAATTGCTAGATACAGTAACTACAGCCACCCCTCCTAATAATAATAATAATAATACTAGCTGACAAATAATAAACATTAAGAATGTTTTAAAACCAACTGAGATTTGTTTCATTCTGGAAAAGAAATGCATTATTGTTATGCTCACGAATCCTTAAATTTCCTCTTCAAAATGCATTAGCAAAAAATGGCACGGAATTGATTAATTGGTGGAGGGTGGAAATTTGGAGAGAGATTTTTAACCAGATCTCGTTTGTCAAACATGAATTTGAATTTCATTCTTTTCTGAATGTCATACATCCAGTGTATTTTGAACTGTGAAGCACCGGATTTTGAAGAGGATTTCTCAGTTAAATTCCAGCATTTTAATTTGTATACTGAGCTTCATTTTTCCTCTAGATTTATGAAAATTCGGTGATTGTATTGAGTAATACAAATACATATAAACTATGCATAATAAATGTCTATTATTTGTTGGTGTGCCATGTGAACAATAAGCCTGTAGTTCAAGTTACATAGTTGGAAATAGTTTAAATGTTAGGATTTTCCATTTTATGAAATTTAAAAATAGGCATTAAATGTACATGTATTGATACGTTATTTAAAGTCCAAGTGGCTTTTACCATGTCATTTCTGTATTATAACCATTATCTTGTGCTCCAGTGCTATTGATATTTGCCAGATTGTGACAATTAATTACAGATGCTTGTTAGGAATATAAAATTCTGGATTTTATTTAAACTAATAGAGTATACATTGTTTGCATATGAAATAAATTGAATGTTAAAATTTTTCTTGACAACCTATTAATCTGGTTGAATTTTTATTACATTATAGTGGCAGCATAAATAGGACATGGAGCTGATTTGATGGAGCAGTACATTAAACAGAGATGCACTAGTTGTTCCATTAAATCAAAATGACATTTCCATTAAGTCTTTCAAACCTACTACACTGTAATTAAATAAACTGCGTCCCATTGATTCACTTTCTCATCTCCTTTTTTCCTTCTTGTCCCATTGATTCACTGATTCACTTTCTCATCTCCTTTTTTCCTTCTTTTTTCCCCTTTTTCCCTCTCTCTTTTTTTTTTTTTTTTCCATTCATATTGATATTGTTCTGCTTGGGAAATAGAGCTGCATGTCTCCCAGTGTAATTAACATTGGGTTTGGGAGACTTTTAAGCATGCTGTTCTTGCATTATTTCTTACATTCCTCGTTGTCAGTTCATCTATTTTGGTCAAAAATGTTATTTGCTTTTCTGAGACTTTCAATTAAGAAACTGACATCTCATTTTAGATATAAAGCTCCTAGCAGTTCAAGGTGTCCTAATGCTAAAGAGGTATTAGCAAAAGCCATTTACTGTTGCAGTGTGACATGCGAGGAAAGTGACCGCTTTTCATTGTATTGTCTACATTTTAATTACATTTTAACAAAGAACTGATTTTTATAGTACAAAATATTTAGGGCCAAATGTGCATTCTGTTATACGTATACATGAAAATTCAATGATAGGAAGAAGTTGTCTTATTAAGGATAAGATCTTCAGATGTTGGAGCAGAACTTTCCAAACTTTTTGGGACAGTGAACTGCTGTCTATCCTTACCACTTGTCATTGCTTATATGTGTTTCTGTGAGTCAACAGTGAATTGATCAACCTGACTTTGCAGAAAACAGCTGGAGAACCATTGCTTTAGAGAATAGGCATCATCACTTAACTGATGGATATAAGTAAAACGATAGTGTTCTGTGCTCCAGTAGGTGTGTTGTGTTACTATGATTTCTTCCGTGTAAGCGTGTTGATAGGTACCTTTGTTACAATACGTGTTATATCATAGACATCAGCTGAAAAGCATGGTTTAATAAGTACATTAAACTACAGAGATTGGTATAATTGCATTTGAAAGCTAAGATCACTCTGCTTTAAAAGATTGCAGTGCTATGAATATCTGATTGGGTATCTGGTCTTAATTGCTGTTCTTAATTCTAAGGTAGAATTTCCATATCTTTCAAATTTTCTGTACTAATTTTTAAATAATTTATCAAATTAATATCTGATTTTGTGCTTTGTTTTTTGGTCTCATGTTTGGAAAATTTTTTGTCTCGTCGTAAAGAGAAATGTTATAACTAGACTGTGATTGGAAAATTATTTCTATTTTGTACAGCAGAGGGCTACATTTCATTTTGTAAGTAGTTGATTACTGACAGCATTGATTTATTAAGCACCTGAAAAGATGATGGATAAGCATGAATATTTTAAATAATTTGGCTACAAGCTTCAAGGTGGAATTCAAGCAATTAAAGTGCCAATAATTAGCATAAGCTATTATGAGGAACGCCCCAACTGAAAGCAATGATTTTGGTTTATATAAAGTTTGGGGTTTTTTTACTGACTATTGTTAAAAATATGCAGCATGTTGATTTTCATTACGTTCTTGCTTTCATTCTATTTGGGTAAAAAAAAAAAATTAAAATCCACAAATCTGTTCATATGCTTCAGCAACCTATATTGTTACTAATTTGGAAATGTCCTTTTATTTGTGAAGATTGTGGAATTTCCAGAAGAAATATCAATAATTGTTTTAATATATGTTTAATTTAGTTCCCCAATTGTTTTAATAAAAACAGAGCTAACAGGTCAAAGAAAAAACAGCAAGTGTCATCTTTCCCCTTCTAAGCTAAGTCCTGCATCATTACGACTTTGACTGTATATTAAAATCAAATCAGATAAGCAGTTCTTTAGTGACATATCATTTGTTTCTATCTGAAAACCTGTTGCTCTTTCTACTAGGGAAAAGTGGCCCAGACAGCTTGCATGTCAGCCTGCCAGCATCTTTCAACATCCCTAATGCAGATGCTACTGGACAGTGAATTAAAACAAATAAGCATGGGAGCAATTCAGCAGTTCAATTTAGATGTGATACAGTGTGAATGTAAGTAGATGTTACAGAATTCCTATCTATATCTGTCTTAACACTGCAAAAAGTTCTTTAAGCCATATAGTGATCTTTTTCCATAATCTACTAAAGCTTTGTCTTTAAAAAAAAAAAAAATTATTACAGTACAGCGTCTTGTAAAAGTATTTATGAGTAAGTATGTTAACATTTCTGGGAAATTTTTTTTCTGAAACTTTTTTTTTTTAACTCAAGTATCTGATTGAAACATACATCTATTGTTACTCCTAATGGGATCATAATCACTATATGCAGCAAAGAGACTATAGTCTAGTAAAAAGTTGCCCAAAACCACTACATAAATATTATGCTTTTATAGTTGAGGAAAAAAAAGTCAAATTCTGTGAAATTTTAATTTTCATTCTTGAGTTTGTTTGTTATAATACAAATTTTAAAGTGCTGCTACATAGGACTAGAACTACTACTGCATTAGTCACTGTGCAGAATAATAGTACTTATTTAATAAACATCAAATGCTGTTTTATTCTCACTGTTCAAAATATGTCATTGGAATTATTTTATAAAGCTGGTTCAGTCCAGCACTGAAGGCAGTATTAATTTCCTCATGTTTTGCATGGAGCTCCCCACTGAGAGGGTGAGTTGTTAATCTGTATGAAGGAAGTTACTTCCCTAACATCGTTGTGTTATGAATAGGCTTTAGGTCTGATTTCATGGTTGATGACTGAGACACAGTGAAAAGTCTCACTAGCATTTTTTTCAATGCATATCTTTAGATTCTTATACTTTTTTTTTTTTTAAGTATTTTTCCTCTTATGTGTTTGAAGCATGGATCCCAATCATTTTGGTGACAGCTGTAAAATGGGGCAGTTCTGCAAGTTGTGTCCTGAGGTTTGTTGTATCCTGCAGGTTGTATCCTGGAAATTTGATTTCAAGTAATTGGTTAGCATCACAAAAGGTTCTTGTGGGGGTCCAGGGACAGAGTTAAGGGGCATTTTTGACATTTTAACCATGTGCTTGTCTTTCCTTTCTCTTGCCTTATTTGTTGCATTCCAGCTAAACTCAGTAACAGGTAGAACAGGCATCTTTCTGACATACCTTCATTATACAGCCTTAAGGCCTTTCAGTGCGTAGAATGAACTGATGGGATTATCAGGGTCCAATTGAAAAAATATTTGTGATCATGACATGAAAGTTTATCTCGTGATTGCACAAGTTGGCCAAACAAATGAGGGTTGGACTTTTTACTTCTAGTATGCTTGATGTTGCAAATTTAATAGTGTTCTTTTCAGGTAGGTGGGTAGGGATATGTGTTTGTGCATTTGTGTAGTTTCCTAGATGCAAAAAAGATGGCAATTGTAAAAACAGAAATTCCATAGTATTGATAATACTGACAGTGTAATCATTCATCTAGACAAGCTGAATCAGTGCACCCACTACACAGTCATCTGCCTTCTGAACAAATAGTGTAACAGCAAAGAAAGCTTGCCCACTACCTTATTATTCTATTTCTAATGTTTAAAATATAGTCTGTGAACAACACAGTACTTCACTACTCTGTATACATTAACAAATTCACTGTTTCACTTGGGGATTTCTAGCAGTACTGGGGATAAAATTCATGCCTTGCAGGTGATTTTCACAGTATGAATAGTATGTTCACAGCAAAGTAATGAGAAGTCCCAATGAGTCCAGCTGTCATCTGGTCTCTGGGTTGTTTTCAGACCTTTTCCTTCTCAGCCTTTGCTCTGTTATGTACCATCCTGATTTCTGTTACCACTCTTTCTACCATCTTTGGTTGTTGCTCAGTGGAAACTTCAATCATCGAAAAGATCTTAGTAGAGTTTTATTTAATCTAACATGATAACATTTCATTATTTTAAGATTAAAATAGAACCTTAAGACAGCATGTTTGGTTATATGTAGCTGTTACACTGAGCATATGGCAGGGACAGGACATGGGAAACCTTGGGCCAAAATGAGAAAGTTTGAGAAAACTAGTAACTTAAACTGAAAAATGCATTCTTTCCACAATGGCATAACTTCTAGCGTTGGGCTGTACAGATGCAAATAGAAGAAACGTTAATTCTTCCTTTCTGCAAAGCTTTTAAAGCATGTTAAAAAAAAATCTTAGTTTTGCACAAAAAACCCTTTGAGTAGTTTAAATATAATTATGGAAGCTTGTCGGAGTAGTATGTTGCAGCAAATGACATTTTACAATCTGTGGAGTAAGGGATTGACACAAGATTTTGCTCAGACTGCTTTGCTGTTGTGGCTTCATTCATAAGGTCCATCACAGACACATTCCAGGCCTCACTGTGATGCCTGTGATTTATGTTCTTGCCCATCACCCTCCCCCAGCTTTATTCTTTGACACTTTGGGATTAATGGATACGACAGTGACATTTCAATTAGTGCTTAGAGTGTGCGAATAATTCACTATGTTGGGTAGTTTCCTATTGTATTGTATACATGGGTTTGACATTTTACTTACAGACACAGTGGAGTATGCTCAGATGCATTTTGCACTAAGAAGTTATGGAGATCTAGAAAGTTATGAATATCTGAAGATACACTTTGAAAAATTCTTGGCAATATTTTAGATATTTATTCTGATCTTTAACATTGTGGGGTTTTTTTTCTGATATGAACTGGAGGAGATCTAAATAAAAGCAGGAAAATGTGGTTACTTGTCAGATTTTCTCTTTTCCATTATAAAGCAATCAACAATCCAACGAACAACCCAACAATCTGTTAACATGCAGTAGTCTGTTAAACTCAGTAGGTACTGAAGTTCTTTGTTGGCATATAGGTAGAATGATAAGTGGACTTCCAAGAAAGAAAGGTAGAAGGAGAGGGGGTGATCTTGTTGTGAACTCTGGGGTTTCATTATCCTGCACTGCATTTCTTTGCAAAGTACCTAACTTTAAAAAGCAGAGCAGAAAATCTGGAAGTATCTGATATTTTGCTCAAGAATAGTAATAGTATCAGGTGGTGTTCTCTGATTTATTAAAAAAAAAGTTATGCTCTTCTTGCTCTGCTTCTAGTAAGTTTTTTGATTTTCTTCCAAACATTCCAAAAGTTTTCAGTTTGATTTCAGTTCTAATTGAAGTATCTCTCCACTCTCTCTGCATATTTCATAACTTAGAGCAGTGTATTTTACACCATTCTTTCTCAGCGGTGATCTTCCACTAGGATGACTGGCATTCTTGCAAGAGTATTCAGAAAAATTGAATGTACGAGGTCCCATTGGATAAAACCCAAAGAATAGTCTTTTGCTCAGACATTGCATTTCAGTGCCCTAAGAAGGGAAATGGGTTGGGGAGCAGAGCAATTTGCTATTTTTTGAAGTTGAAATTCCAGTGTGGGTTGCTGTATCTCACTTTATGAGAAGCAAGGTGTACATAATAGAAAATGAGCTTTTCAGAGACACCGTCCAGGTCTAGATACCTTACATCAGCTTTTTATTAAGGAATTAGAACTTGTCAGAAATCGTAATTGCTGGAAGAGCTAAATGTAATGTTTATAATTTATGTCTTTTAACATAGCTGAATTGTGAGACAGGATTAATTGGTAGAAGGAGATGTGGTTAAGTGGGCATCCTGCTTCACTCAGACCTGAATCTGTGCAAAGATGAAGAGGTTTTGGGTCCTGTCTATAAATGAGCATGAGTTAGCTGATAATTAACGCAAAGCAGGATGCACTATACCTTCCTACCCGGCCCTACGTAGGGCTTCCTGCCAGTCCCTCCTTTTTCACCCACTCTGTGGAGAGCTGCAGTATCTGAGAGCAAGAAAGATCTTGACCCAAGTGCTCTCTGTTGAGCATACATGAAGGTAATCTCCAGGTGCGCATGCCAGAAGCTGAGGAACCCAAATTCTGTTTTCCCTTGAAAAGGCCTTGTATTCATTCTCCTCTGGAGTCCCCTCACTTTACCTGCCTCCGCTCCCATCTGGGAAGTCAGGTTAACTTAACCCACTGGAGACCATCCTTCGTCTGCCGGTCACATATGGCAGCATGGGAGTGGGGGGAAGCAGCGAGGTCTCACTGGTGCTGGGGGCTGCTGCCGGCCAGCTGGCAGCTCCCTCAGCGAGGCTCCCCTCCAGGGAAGGGCCAGCTGTTTGAACAGCTGGAGCATCCCACAGGGCTGCAAAGTGGCTGATGGCTGGTGAGGTAGTCACCTGATTCTCCGCTC